GGGGACAGCACACACCCCTGGGGGGCACCGGTGTTGACTGAGCCGGGCTGTAAAAGATGTGGGCCTAGCCTAACATACTGAGTCCTGTTGGTGAGGAAGTCTGTAATCCATGAGCAAAGGAGGGGGTGAATGTTGGATCTATATGCAAACGGAAGGGGGTCCATGAGGTGGTCAGTAGATGTTTTGAGATAAGAGAGGACCAAGTGCTCAAATGTTTTCATGACTACAGAGGTGAGGGCGACCGGTCTGTAGTCATTCAAGCAGGTGATCTTGGGCTTTTTCGGCACCGGAATGATGATGGCAGATTAAAAACATGCTGGTACCTGGCATAGTTCTTATGTACCCGGCATAGTTCTAGTGATGATGATGATGTGATGTGAAGTACCATTCATTCAAATTAATAATTGTGTGGCAATTTTTAGTATTCTTTTTATTATTATTATGATTTGTATTAATGACACTTATTGTTATTTAGAAGAAGAATGTCGTTATTATTATTATTATTATTATTATTATTATCATTTAAAAGAAGAAGAATGTATTTTTTATTATTTTGTCAGTCTGAATTATTTTTTGGTATTTGATAGCCTTTCATTACTGAACCCAGTCCGTGCGCACCTGCCGGGGATAATCCTGAAATGTCACGGTGATGCACACAGGCTCGCAACTAAAGGAATACATATGCTTACAAATCAAATGCTTTGGTAGTCACACAAATTAAACATTGAAATCCATGTTGCACAAAAATAAACACTGAAGTTTATAATTAATATGTTGTTGTTGTTTTTTTACAGTGTTTTTTTAACCAGTTTAAAGATGCTTTCATAAATATAGCCTACAATTAAATACATTTTGGAGAACAGACAGAAGAAGATCTGTGTATTTGATCGTTATTTGTGTTGGGCATGCATGACTGCGAGCACATGTGCAGAGTTTTAACACTTTCTGATCTGTGTCTGATCCCTTTATATATTGAAGGGGTGGTCAAAATCCCTTGCCTCTTCAGTATATATATCATAATATCATTTTAAATGATTATGTATTTCTTTTATAAAATCAATATTATGTATATTCATTGTTACTTAAATATTTATTGACATAAATGTATTCTTTGTGCTTTTGCTTGTGAAATAATATTCTTAATGCATGCTGATGTAAGTCACCAGCTTCTTTTAGGTGCACAAGGCCATTTGTCTCTTTCTCTGGTCTCAGGAGAAAGGTTTATGGATCCTAAAGGCGTCGTGAACACATATGTCCAACACATATGATACTTCTCTGTACAGATGGTCAAGCTATATTGAGCATTGCTTTATTGAACTTTAATTGTTATATTAAACTGTATTCTTTCTATTATATTTGCTTTCTGAGAAGCAAATGTTATCTGTTTTTCTCCCAAACGAGTGAATGTTTTACCATTATGTTTTGGTACACTTAACTGATAATAAGACGCTCAGACTCTCTTCAGCCTTGATGGGAGCTCCTATTTGCTAGTGTCCTAGGTGAATGCAGTAACAGTGAAAATAATAGGGAAGTAGGGATTTGGTTTATGTTTGAGTGTTAAAACATAAAGGGGTCATTGAGTCCAACAGTTTAAGGCACTATTTCTTTGTTGAAGTCTTACTCCAGTTAGACTAAAGTTCAGTGCTAGTCTTCTTGGTTGCAGGTTAAGCAACCACTGCCATTATTGGAGATTGAATGAGTTGTTGTTCTGGACACACTGGCGCCAGCAACCCAAATCTGTGACCTGGAAGGTCATGACGTGCCTCATCGATGGAGATATGTTTTGTCTATCTGTATATGTGTGGAAAATTACTGTGTATCTATCTATATCTTAGCCAATGAGAATCATTCAACGTGTAAGCAATGACGTAGCTTAGACCTTGGAAACAGTATAACTGCTGTGATCTTTGTAACTGTAAGGGGGCGGCCTACGAACTCCTGAGCGAGTCTTGAAGCTGACTTCTGCTGATGAAATGGCAAACTATGTTCAGTAAAACTTTCATTAATTTTTTATAATTCTGACTCCGGGTCTTCATTCTTCATATCTGGTTCTGGGTCCTTTAACTGTTAACCCCTAACAATATGAATGCAAAAATGTCTCTTCTGTTTTTGTTGCAACATAGCTTATCTAATTATGATAATAATAGTCACTTAAATGAAAAAAAATTCTAAATAATATCATGTTTTACTTAATTTAAGTACGTGTACTTTTACTTGAGTGCAGTTTTTGGATACTCAACCCAATGCAGGTGCGCCTGTCTCCGGCACGCATAGAGACCATTCTGTCACCCGTGGAAAGGAAAAAGCTAGGCTAGTCGCTTACTGTAAAAAGCAGTTTCAGAGACTGTTGGGTTTGATGGCAGGAAGCATCCAACGTGATACCTTTTAGCCTGCTGCACATGAGGCCCAGTGGTGGCTCAGGACCAAAGGGTTTTCCCCGAGGGGCAACCCTTTTCGCATAATCAAGGTAACGTGGCAATGCTTACGTACCCTGGTTATGTGGAAGAAACCGTGCAAACTCGTGCACCAAATCCTTTTGTGGTCCTAGGGCAAGCTGCTTTCCCTCAGGGCAGCTTATATCCCTGGGGTCTAGAATGTAGGAGCAGAGGTCCTGTCGAGACAGAGGCCGAGGCCTGGAGAATGGAGGCTCCACCCCAAGGTGGTGGAGCTGATATAGAGAGAGTTTGGCCAGGCTGTTTGCATCTCGAGAGATGTCGCATTCTCGAGAGGTTCAGCCAGTTTTCTCACTCTAAAGACTCTGTTCCTCCTCACTATTTTGTCTCTTAAAAGAATAGGAGATCTTCAGTCTCTGTCGGTTGCACCCTTGTGCTTGGAATTTGCACCTGGAATGGTTAAAGCGTTCCTTCACCCTAGACCAGGTTATGTTCCGAAGATTCCCACTAATGTGGCCCGATCTATAGTTCTGCAGGCCTTTTGTCCTCCTCCATTCCAGGATGCGGACCAGTAAAGGAACAATTTGCTCTGCCCGGTTAGGGCGTTAGATGCTTAAGTCCACAGAGCTGCCCTGTGGCGTAAATCTGAACAGTTGTTTTTATGTTTTGGACCCCCTAACAAAGGGTCTCCTGCATCTAAGCAAAGAATGAGCAAGTTGAAGCCATTTCACTTGCTTATGAGTCGACCGGACAGCCGTGTCCTCTGGCAGTCGATTTTAGCCCTGATTCACCCCTTCGGACAATCTTAAGGATGATCCGATTATCGTAAAATAATCTGATCAGATATTCCTGCCGTGTGTGGTGTGTTAAAGGAGTAGTTCACTTTAAAAAAAAAAACTTTTGCTGATAATTTACTCACCCCCATGTCATCCAAGATGTCCATGTCTTTCTTTCTTCAGTTGAAAAGAAATTAAGGTTTTTGATGAAAACATTCCAGGATTTCCTCCATATAATGGACTTTATTGGAAACCAAACGGTTCAAGGTTCAAATGAGAGTTTCAGTTCAGCTTTAAAGGGCTTTAAACGACACCAGATGATGAATAAGATGATCTTAATCTTCGGAAATACTACCTTTTCTCTGTTCACACTCCACTTCATCTGCTAAATGATTTAACACTTGTATTAGCTCTGCCGCAGCAATTTTTTCAACAGCTCAAAACACGTAACATAGCCATAACATGTTATGTTTACCTGTTGTTGCCTAGCCCCGCCTTGATGCAGTGATTGACAGGCGTGATCGGCTCGGAATGCATTTTCAAAGTGCACATCGAATTTTGATACATTCATTGCGGGACATTTCATAAATATGCAATCGCAAGTGTCTTGACTGTGAGTGTAAATGCAATTAAGAAAAATAACATTTGAATTATCATTTCGTCCCCTTGGAATTATAAGGTTCTATCTGCGTTCTGAACAGTTTATTGAGATGTTGAGCTTCAAAGTTTTTGCATTCCATATAAGAAAATGTGTATGGGGAACAAGTTTCTTTTAAACATAAAAATAACAGGGACCCTAAATGTACAAAACACATCACATAATGTAAATAAATTGTCACAGAATAAGAATATGTGAATAACTCAATTTTGACAAAAATGTCAGATAGAACCTTATAATTCCAAGGGGACGATTTTGCCACAGTTTTTGCTTGAACATGTTACACATATCTAATAATTTCTGTAATGCATTTTAATTTGAATTTTGTCACTTATAAAGCGTTTCAATATGCATATTAAAACTAGTGTTTGAAATGGCAATTGTAAATTATGTAATTTCATTTTCATTTTGCACCAAAGGTTACTAGAATGGTAATGTAAAAAGGTAGGTTTGAATACAAAATGCAATGTCATTTTACATATTGCATTGTCATTTTGCATATTACATTTCAAATTGAATATTGCTACACATATGCTTCCATATTGTAGCCTACTTACTAGGCTACTTTACAAGAGGCCTCACTACGGCTTTAACAACCAACATGTTGTCACACGACCACCTCTATGTACTATAGGCTATTTTGTATATAGTAATGTAACACAACCTTGTTTTTCTATTATTGCATAACTGAAGAGGCAGAATACACAGAATGATCACATTACATGATTTTGTCCACCAGAGGGAGTTGTAAAACAACACAGAGTGAACTGCCTCATTTTTGCTTTTAGAGGTACCACAGACTCCTTCAAAATGAAGTTTTGCATGATATTCATTGGAACTACATAGGCAGAAAGCCAAGGTTTTGTTGACTTTATGAGAGTTTGTTTTATTTATTGTTTTTATTGTCATATTCATTTTTATTTTTCTTATTAAAAAAAAGAAAGAAAGAAAAAAAGAAACTTACAAATGGTCTGACGTATGAGACAGTAGCACCAAAATAATGGTAATCTGTCATGAAATGAAGAAATCCCTACATGATATGTGTGTGTGTGTGTGTGTGTGTGTGTGTGTGAGAGAGAGAGAGAGAGAGAGAGAGAGAGAGAGAGAGAGAGAGAGAGAGAGAGGGTTGATTCGCTCTCAGGTGTTTTTAAGGCTGACGCGGATCTTTCAACGTCACTGTTCATCCATTTAGCCTATCTGATAGGGAATTGAAACCAGTGATATCCAACCTGACAGCACATTGGAATAAATCGGAGAACTTGCTTTTGCTCCAATTCCTTCTCTGAAAATGAGCAGCCGACGGCGACGATGCAAGCGTCAGTTAATCAAGTTTACACAGCATATTGCTCGCTTAATCACAGGAACTCTGAACTCAGGTAACGAGTTTTTTTTGTTTGTTTGTTTGTTTTTTTTTTTTTTACAATATTTTCGGGATATAATTTACCGCATTGCACCGAGACTATAAAGTTTGCATCGTTCTGTCGCTTTGTTGTTCTGAATTTCATTTAGCCTATATCAGCTTCTGTTCCAAAATTGTTAACATTAACTGCTAAATAATTGCTTTACCAGAGTTAGACTATTTCATAGCCCAGCATTAGAAATCAGGTAATAGTCTATACTGAAATAAATCTAATCAACAGGTACACATAAGTTCATGAATATTCTAATATGACTACTGTGTGTGTGAAAATGTTCATGACTTTTCTATTTATATTTACTTTAACAAATTATCTGTTATGCATTACCTATCTACAAAAATGTTAATATTAAAAAAAGTAATATATATATATATATATATATATATATATATATATATATATATATATTGTAAAAGAACAAAGATTTAAGACATATTTTGATAGGTCTACAATGAAAATATTTTTTGTAGAAACACTTTTAACTCAGAAATCATTAGTAAATGTCAAAAATAGACATATGGCAAAACTAAATTAAAAATGAAATCTTGTAGTAGAAAAAAGTCGGTAGTAGGCTATGTGATTCTCGTTCCCTGAAGGAGGGAACGGGAGACATTATGTCCATGTGACGACGTAATTGGGATCGCCTTGAGAGACCAATCAGAGGACACAATTATTTGTTATATTTAACAAATAATATTTCAAACTCATTCTGGGATTTATTGTGCCATCCCCCCCCCAACAAGGGCAAGAAGGGTCTTGGCTACCATGACTACGATCAGAAGTTGGTTTTATTGCTGTTAAAAATGTGGTTACGTGAAAAAAGCAGAGGCCATAGGACAGGTAGAGGCCATAGGACAGACCCTTAAAACAGACTTTCTTGCATTCGTTTATGTACGAACTGTTCTGTAAATGATCCTCATTTAATGACTCACACTTCAGTGTTCATCACCTTCTCATAGAATGCAGTGTGTGTTTGTTATATCTATCTGAGTATAAATTAACACAGACAGCAAGGCCTATGTCTAGCCACACTTGAGAGAGAACCATAAATCCTCCCAACAGAAGGATTTACTGTATGGAAATTCTCCCTTTCTTACTCTCAGGGAGCTGATCGTGGAAGAATACACGTGGTCACCTAGAACCTCCACGTCCTGTCAAGGCACCAGACATGGAGTTTCCAGAGGTCTGGAGACGGGTGCCACAGAGTGCCCCGTCTCTGAGAGAGCACCTCTCTTAAGAGGTGTAAGAGTCTAGCTGAGCATAGCCAAGTCTTATGGTACGGATGAGCCTGTCTCAGGGGACTGCTGAGTTGCAGCTCTGAGACGGGTGGTGCCATCTTCCTGCAAAAGCTCCATGTCACAGTTGAGCTGGTGTGGCAGATGTTTTTTTTTTTTTTTTCTGGAAGGGACAGACACCCTTGGCAATGAACAGACTGAGGGGCAGCCCACCAGTGACTCAGAGTCGCTTGGCACAGTCTCCCAACAGTTTCGCCAAAAGGCCACCTCGTGAGATGGGAGCATTGAGAAAGCGAACTTAGACGATGTCTTGCACCTCTTGAAGGTTTGGCCAGGGGGCGCTTCTGGACCACTAGGGTGGATATCATCTGGCTGAGGGCCACTGCTGTGACTTTAAACACGGTCAGTCACCAAACATAGCTAAACCCCGACTCAGAACTACCCTCATGCATTATGACTATTTGGCCTTCCACAATTTTTTTAGCACTGCCGCCCCACCATTGAGGGTATTGAGAGAGGGAAAAAAAATCTTATGCTTTTTGCATGTTTTGCTTGCCATATTGGTGCCAAAATGCTTCCATACTGCAAAAGTTCTTAACACACATCTGGGAAGGCACACTCTAAAAAATGCTGGGTTGTTTTAACCCAACTTTGGGTCAAATATGGACTAACCCAGCCGTTGGGTTAAATTTTTACATTACATTTTTAACCCAACATTTTGGGTTTGTCCATATTTGACCCAAAATTGGGTTAAAACAACCCAGCATTTTTAGAGTGCACAGGGCGGGGCAAGATGATTATGCGTCACACTGCACCTCCAGAGTAGTCCGGGAAAGCATGGCTGTCAAGTCTGAATTTGATTCAGCATGAGCACGCAAATCCATATAGCGGGATCTCAGCATCATCTTCATTTCCAGAGCGTAACAGCCCTCTCTTTGATGCAGCGATCGACATTTAGTTCTCCCCTGTAGCCCCGAAAGAAATGCTAGGTTTATCATGAGAATGACCAGGAATCACATCTAGAAAGCTGCCAGGCATACGAGACAGTGAATGTGATCATCAACTCGACGGCACACAGCACGCTGATTGTTTAAACCTTAAAGGTATAGTTCACTTTAAAATTAATTTTTGATATGTTTTAGCTTACCTCAAGGGCATCCAAGATGTAGATGTCTTTGTTTCCACACTATTTTCAATTTTGATATTTTTAGGTCAAACAGTTTGTGTCTGCCAGTCATATAATGGATGTTTATGTGAATGGGGTCCACCCTGGGTCCACCTTAAAGAGCATGCACAGAGAAGTCCAAATTAAACATGATTTAATGACTCATAAATGTAAGCACGCATTGATGGCCTGAGACACGAAACGAGCAGTATTTTTATTGTTTTTACCTCGTGTATCCCTTTAATGAAAAAGCCAAGACGAATAACATGCTGATGTGTTCATGTTCTCATAAGAGAATATAACCAACCACAAACACAGTCTCAACATGTTTGCTATGTGATAGAGGAGTGAGGGGCCCACATGGATTGGTTACATGAACTGAACTGAAAAAAAATTGGCGTTGAAAACTTGTTGTTTATGACAATTAAAAGTAAATTACACCAAACATTTAAAAAAATATATAGCTTTTTTAAAGTCCCCGTGAACCGGAAGTTGCAAACGATTTTTCTCCAGTGCTGTGACGTATTTCCAAGTGAAACGGAATATTGAACAGAGGGCAGGGTTTTATTCTAGCGCTCCTCCTCTCCATCTCTCGCTCATAGCAAACTAACGGTTTGAGGGGAGTGGTTAAGCGTTTCCCCACCCAAACTGTGAAACCTACGTCATCAGAAAAAGAAACCGTTCCAGACCGGAAGTAACTTTTCAGATTTTGATTAAAGATTACCAAGGTAAAGCATTTTTTAAATATATATTTACTTGCACGGATTAATTGTTCACCACAAGACTAGTAATATGCGCTAACAAAGTAAATAGGTTCAATTTTGTTTTCACAGGGACTTTAAGCAACACAAAAATTGCGCTTGTTAGCGCTGGCAATTTCGATAACGTCACTGGCATGGTAGGCATGGTCCTATATACACAGAAGGAAATGAGCACTTTTAAGTCAAGTCAAGTCACATTTATTTATATAGCGCTTTTCACAATACAGATTGTATCAAAGCAGCTTCACAGTAATAACATGAAAGTAGTACAACACAGATCAATAATATTGTAAATATTAAATATCCCCAACTGAGCAAGCCAAAAGTAAGGCAATGGACTTTTAACGGCACGGATTACGCATTTGAGCTCGTGAGGGACAGGCCAGTAGTATCGGACTACACCACATGGAGGACGGACCTCTTGTCCACTTACAGTGAACTATACATCAGGAATCTTTTCCCCTCAGCCGAATATCAAGGATTCGAGTAACGTTAACGTGATGCGTTGAACTTGTAACTTGTGTAAATAAAACATTTGATGCATACATTGTCCGACGCTTCATGTGCTCATTGACGAAAGTACATATCTCTAAATAGTGTGTCACAAAAAAATCTGTTTCCTCAGCTAGCCTCAGACTATTTACAAGCCACGGCTGCTCTGCTGGTGCGGGTAGGCAATGGAGTGGCTTACCTTGCCAGTGACATAGCCGAATGTTAAAATCCAACATGGCGGCGACCGTGCAACACAAACAACACTTTCAATGTACCATTTTATCCCTTTTAAGAAATTCTGCCATTTTAAAAATTGTACAAATGAGAATAAATAAAATACATCTGTTATATCACCTTTTCTCAAATTTCAGTTCAGTTCATCTTTAAGCACGGGCATGTGAAACAGTTATCATGGCCGTCAGATGAGGATAGGAAAAGACCGCATCCAGAAACACGGTTTGAAAGACATCTTGAAAAAGGCAGTGTCATCCTCTTTCAAGAAAAACTGCTGTCTCTGTTGTTTAAGTACCCAGTGATGACCATGGCTACCCAAACAGAATAATTTGCGAGTACTCGCATTCTCATTGAAAGCACAACATTCTGAGCTGCAAAAACAGCTGTTTTTTACTGGCTCTCTGTGAGATTGCGGCCAGTGCTTGTCTGCGCTGTAACACCAATTACAGATGTGGACATGTTTCCTTCTATTGAAGTTTAACACTGTCAGACGATAGTACAAACGCTTGCCTCTGAAGCGAAAGACAAATATGCGACGCACCTGCCGCTCGTTATATGTTCTCCTGCAAGAGCAGCTTATGCACTTATTGCATGCCAATATGCATTGGCTCGTTTTAATAGACCTTATGCACCAGAGGAACGTGGGCGCCGTCATCTTTAGAATATTGTCTTTGAACTTACGTTTTTGTGGTCGCTCTGTTTATTTCTATGGCATCGCTGTCGAGGAGTAATGGGCTCTATGCACGGCGGTATTTCCGGTGAAGCATTAGGGATGCTCGATAACTTCCGCCGATCGTAGAGTCCAATGCAATAGTGAGAATTTATATTGAATTTTATACTCCATGGTTATACTAATGAAACGTTAGTCACAAAAACAGATAAAACAGACACCCCTCGTTGTGTTTATGCTTCTTTTTAAAATTATATCAAATAAACATAACTGTATATAAAATTACATCTAAACGTATGTACGTTTCGTTTCAAAGACGGGAGGACAGTAAATATTGAAGACTCTGCCATAATTCTGTTTTCTCCGGTTTTCCTCCGCTTTAATCTACATAACCGGAAATAGACGAGCATCCTTGCGTCAAATGCGGAACTTATGCGTGCATATAGCCCATTAGCTGGTGAAGTGGATTTAATTGTTGTAGAGTTAACAAAAGTTATCATGAGCATTGTAATGTTTATAATAAGCATTGGAAAGCAGATGTCTAACAGATTTTTTTTTTTACGAGCAGTTCATTCATACCTATGAAAGATCGCTGTGAAAATACAGACCGGAAGTCAAAAGACAACAAGCGCAGAGCTGAAAAGGGGCGGGGCTACATAAGGTCTATACACTCGAAGTACATTGGTCTCTCAAGGCGATCCCAATTACATTGTCACGTCGACGTAACTTAGAACGTGAGCGACTGAAAGGAACTGAAATTTTATTTTCTTGTAAAATTTACTTCAGTAATCTGTTTTATTTACAAATTTGAAAAATCAAATGTGTACACAAACAGACCAGGGGCAGTTGTCATTTACATTTGCTGCTTTTATTCAAAGAAACATTGCACTGAATGTATAGTCTATATTATTTCATTGTCAATATACATGTATTTTTGCTTATCCTATAACAGCAGAAATGCTCAACAGTGTTTTCTATTTACATGTAAGTCTTCCAGGTATGTGTGTCTCTCAAACTGACTTTCAAAAATACCCCACCATAAGAAATTGCTTGCTGTACACCCCTTCTTAGTTTCCCATATGCCATATTTTCTACGACAACGATTCATATTTAATTTTCAAAAACCGACATCAGGCAAGAAGTAACAACACCATACTATAAATGTCCAAAATAAAAACAATAAAATGTTAATTAGAATGACACAGATCCAAGACTAATCTCACTTACAAAGGTGTTGATGAGGAATGAGTAAAATGGCATTGAATAGCAAGGAACATTTTATCAACTCAAACTGTCAGTGCAAATTAAATTAAATTTACAACATTACATCACATTGCAACACTTATGCTAATAGAAAGGTCAACAGGTGTTAAAACTCTTTCCAGACTGCTTGTAAGTTCATGCCTTACACCTCTTTTTGTCCCTTGACTCTCTAAGGGTGTAATTACACATCTTACTGAAATACTTAATATTTAATGGCAGAGCCGTAGATCAGATACCTTGCCAATGTAATACAGAGCCATGTTTAACAGCTATAGAGGTTGGCTAACCGTCTCCAACATATTTTAGTCTAAAAATAACACAGAAGTGTACACCATAATAATGTAAATCCACCATATTAAGGTTTAAATATACACTGTTCTTCCATAATTTTTTTATTTATTTATTGACAATTAGTACATTAGATTGTGTTGTGTATTTTGTTTGTATTCAGTCATTACTGTCTTATCATTAAATGCAATGAAAATAACAATATAGTTGCTTACCCCACCCTGTGGTGTATTACTGTTACTGTGCTAGTCATTAATGGTCTTAACTTTGTGGATGAGAGTTCTAATTAATTTCATTTTTCCCTTGGCTATGCTTCATATCCTTGTGGGACTAAATATAATTACACACTCCATCATTCCATAGCCAACCATAAGACACTGATGATCCCTTAATAATGCCATAAATTAAGTATTGGAGACACCAGTGTCTTTTTCAGGTAATTTTATCCGCCACATTTCTGCTTCATTTCTTCTGCATTTGAGAATTTTAGAAGAACCTTCCTATTTTAAATTCATGCATTCTGAATGGATAGTTACATTTTAGTTTTTTAATCATTTAATACAGTTGATCGGTTTCCCTCTGGGGATTCTCTGCTCAGTCTGTATTTATGCCTTAAAAGCATCATGAGACAAAAATAGCTACAAACCATTCAATCTTTTTTCGCTTTGTACTTCAAAAACAGACCAAAGCAGACATTTATGAAAATTATACGGTGTCATGTTGCCACTCAGCAGGGATAGAATGATTATCACACTCCTTGCGACACACTATGGCAATGAGTGGAAATTTATGAGATTACATTCAAAATAAGCTCTTAAAATTAACAAATATGGTTAACTTACAAAAAGTTGTAATTTTTATATATAAAGGTTCCAAAAAATGCTATTTTTATAGAAAAAGTTTCTTCTATCAGATACTTGATTTTCTTTCGCTCTTTCTGAGTCAAAGCATTTTCTTTTTGTTTCTTTGTTTGTTTGTTAATAATGCTTTTTCCGTTTCTTGTGTGTCCCAATGATTCATTGTTTCCTCACAACTGTATTCTCAGTCCTAAAATAGAGTGAATTATTCTATAATTTAGCTCCAAATCTCCGGTGAAAATGGTCATTCTGACCCCCCTCAACAAAATATTGGATTACTCAGTAAATATTCATCCATGACATTTAATATTTTGGCTTTCTTTCTTTAGAAAAAAATATTAACAAAATCAAAAATTTGAGCCAATGAAGTTTCTGAAATTTGATTGATTTAACACGGAGTGACCCTATTGATAAATCTATATTATGTAACACACGTGATTGTTTTCTCCATAAAAGTTTCCCTTTAAACAAGTTGAAGATCCAGAACTAGACTTTCAAATCTGCTCTGGTTATTTATAGCACACCAGTGAAATGTGCACAGTGAAGTGGTGGGTGTTGTGACTTGATTATGTTTTTAGAGCAGCTTGTAAAGTCTTGACCAGTCTTTAAGTGGGTCATTCTTCTACCCCAATTTATTAGTCCCAATGTACCCCAATATATTAATCCACTCATTCAAAAACAGATGTTTAACAAGAACATGTTCACCTTCAAATAGTAAGTAGCAGTATAGTTCAGATAAGACTGGATGTTTTAATAAAGGTTTCATGCAATTATCATTGCCTTTTCTTCTTCTTCTGTATTTCCTCAGAAATGGTATAGGCTAGTTCCATACTTGGACAAGGATATAGGCTTGAAGTAGTACTTTTTTTAAGCACAGCGACTATTTTGTGAATAGCATTGCTTCTTTACGGCTGCAAGCATCAACTTACCAGGACGTTCTTCATGAGAAACTGGGACAGAGGTATTATGGATGTCCTAAAGGAGACACTAGATACCTGACCTGCTAAGGCACAGTGGTGAATATTTAATAAAATTCATGGAAACAGGCCAGTAGACCCGTTAAGCAGTTTATGCTATGAATATTGAAGCATACATTCTGTACATAATAGGCATTAAATGGTTTAGGTTTTTTTTATGAACAGCTTTAAATATCAAAAAAGAGTGATAAAAAAAAATTAAATCAAAAAGCAATAAAAAATGAAAAATACAGTACTGCACAATAAACTACTTGCATGCTCCCTAAACACGATACATTTTGTTACGATACATTATTGAAGTAAAGACATAAAATCTGGTTTGGACTATAGTGTAGTTTCTTAAATCAAAGGAAATGTGTAAAAAGAAACCTATGCTTGAAAAAACGCCATAAATGCATGTCACACTCTTATCATTATTTATTATTTCATTATTCATCAAAAAGTCTTTGTGTTATCAGTGTCATTAGACCTGCTAGTGTCAGGATTCTTAATTGTGAGGATTCTTAAAGGGTGTGTCTGACTCTGAACACATGCATATCACAGTAAATAAAATTATGTTTCTTTGATACATTATTTTGCTTATTCTTTCTTTGATGCAGAAGCCGTATTGCCCATAAAAAATAATAATGGCAGCTGTATGCGCTATGTTGTAGATAATGAGGACGAAGAACAAGAGAGCACAATGGTGCGGTATCACCCTGAAAATCTGGAGCAACTGCAGTCACAGACCCACTTCTCCAGACAAGAGCTGCAGTTACTCTATAGAGGATTCAAGAATGTGAGAGTTCAGTATAACCCCACCTGCTGGGTAAAAATGTTGACATTTTTAGGCTTCTGCTCTCTTTGGAGAAATCCCAGTCCCTTAAAAATGCTTTCTTGTCTGATCCTGTTTTTACTAGGAATGTCCAAGTGGAGTTGTGAATGAGGACACATTTAAAAACATCTATGCTGTGTTCTTCCCACTGGGAGGTTAGTCCACTTAAAGTTTATATTATTAAATATGATTAGGTAAAGAAAATGTGTGTGTATGTATATATATATATATATATATATATATATATATATATATATATATATATATATATATATATATATATAAAGATCTATTGTGTAGGCATTAAACTCTACTAGTAAATTACTGTATTTAAAAGTATGTGCTGATCACGTGAAAATACTTTGTAATGTGACAGAGTTAGAAAACCGAGATCTTTTTCTGCACACTGTAGTCAGTGTCTCCTCCTTGTGGTCTGATGTGAAATTTTTCACACAATTTTACCAGAAAGTTACAACTCTTAAAGTTACAATATAATATGATGAAACAAACAACAAAATAAATAAGTGTGCCATTTTATGTGCAGATTCAGTTCAAATCCTGATTTTATTAAGCTATAGAACAGGCCAAACCAATTCAAATAAATATATAATAAAAAGTAAAACTGCCTGCCATGCCATTTATAATAGCCTACTATTTCTTGTTGTTTAGAAAAATGTTTAGAACCTAAAAATCTAAACACATTTTATGTTCACATTTTTTCACATTTTTTTTTTCCTGCAGTAATATAATTATTTTCATTATTTTCTTAGATTCATCAAAGTACGCTCAGTTTCTCTTCAATGCATTTGATAAAGACAAGAATGGCTCTCTCAGTTTTGAGGTGAGGATTTTTAACTAAATTGTTTTTTGTAGATCAGGACAAACATTTATGTGGAAAAATATGCATATGAAAAAGTCAATGTTTTGAATGGCTTTAATTGTTTGAAAACAGTTAATCACTATGATCCCTTATATTTGACATTAATTTGATTCAGATTTTTGAAATAGATAATGTTTTCAATGTTTTCAGATGTTTAAATCTTTAACACTGGATAAAAGATTAGAAAGGATGTACTGACACTTTATTATATCCATTCTTTAAGACTGTTGTTAACGTGTTTATGTGTGTTTTGCTTTTAAAGGAGTTAGTCTGTGATCTCTCTGTTTTGTTGAGAGGCACTACTGAAGAGAAGCTGAATTGGGCTTTCAATCTATATGACATCAACAAAGATGGACAGATTACTAAAGAGGTCTGAACACTCTAATGTCAAGGACTAAACACCTTGTGAGGTTTGGTTTGTGATGCAATATTTGATCTTTTTGTTTCAGGAAATGTTGGATATTTTGAAGTCTATTTATGATTTGATGGGGAAATCAATCCACCCACGGCTCAAAGAGGAGGCAGTGAGGCAACACGTCAGAATTTTCTTCCAAGTAGGCCTACTGCTATTTTACAATATTATAATAGGAAAATGTAACTATGCATACATTTTTGGAAAACATGCAATTTAGCTTTGTATAACAGTTGCCAGATTAAATATCCACAGGACATTTGAACTTGTGTTATTTTACCCTTGTCATGGAAATTTATAATACACCCTACGAAAACTAATCTGACTTTTTCACTTGTGACAATTCAGATAACCTACAGTTGTCAATACAATACTTGCAATACTTCACTTCAGGTCAACTGGTAAAAGAGCAAACCTAATCCTAACCCTCCAGTTCAACTGTCCACAGGAGTAGAACTAAAAGCACTATTACATGCACTGCCTCTTCACCCGATAGTATTTCGACACCCCGGGATGCAAGTTGGCAGGAAACTTAGCGTTTAACAGCCAGCAAACAAACTGGGCCAGAGATTGCAGATTCTATCCGAACTAAAAAGCCTGAGTAAGGTTCTCCATCTTAAAATCTCAATGAACGAGAGCATATTAAAATGCGGGTAAATCAACTCATCAACTTACAGCGTCCATCTTACACTTAAAGGGTTAGTGAAATGAAAATTCCAAAAATGAAAATTCTGTCAATAATTACTCAGCCTCATGTTGTTTCAACCCCGTAAGACTTTCGTTCATCTTCGGAACATGAATTAAGATATTTTTCATTAAGTCTCAGAGAAATAATAACTTTATTCAACTATTAATTTCCTTCTCTGTGGGCCTCGAGATTTCACGTAGTGTAAAGTACTCGCTTACTAACGTAACGTGTCGTTACGTATGTAACCCTCGTTCCCTGAGTAGGGAATGGAGACATTACGTCAGATGACGACGAATGGGGTTTCACTTAGAAAGCCTATTGACTGAGTATACAAAACGAGCCAATGGCAATGAAATGCCATAGGTCTGTAGAATTGGCATAGCGTATCTCCGCCTTACCTCGCTGGTATAAAGAGAGGATGCCGGCAATATGCAGATATGTTAGAGAATACACATATGACCCAAAGGAATGCATATGGAGAACACTGGGGTGTCTAGCCGCAGGTGGAATATTTCAACCCCAGGGGTGGAAAGGTGGCTTGCCAAGGGAAAACACATGCTCAGAGAGGCTTACAGTGGAAATACACATGTGGGGGTCGCTCGAGTGAGGGACAATGCACACGGGAGGCACCTGCCCAGCGCACAGGCAATAGACACTGGCGCCGACGTCAGGAGTGGTGGAGGAACTCAGGGCTTTGGGGAAGCTCACCTGAGGAGAATATCGCACATACCCAGTCCGTGGAGTAGAATGGCGAGCAAGCAAAGACACCTGAGCAGGTTCAGTACTAGCGGGTTGAAGCGAGAACATGAGAGGACACAGGCTCCACTCGGAGATTGTAGAATCTGGCGAATGTGTTGGGTGTCGCCCGGCCTGCAGCTCTGCAGATTTCTGTTAGTGAGGCGCCATGTGCTAGAGCCCAAGAGGACGCCACACTCCGGGTGGAGGGGGCTGTCACACCAAGGGGGCACGGTTGACCTTGCTGCTGGTATTCCAAAGGAATGGCGTCCACTATACTGTGAGACAGCCTTTTCTTGAAGAGAGGCCTTCCCTTTAGATTCTCATCATAACAGACAAAGAGCTGGTCTGAGGTCCTGAAACACTGCATTCTGTCTACATAGGCGGAGAGAGCACGTACTGGACAGAGCAGTGCCAAGGCTGGGTCTGCCGCCTCTAGGGGCAGTGCTTGCAGGTTCACCACCTGGTCCCAGAAAGGAGTGGTGGGAACCTTGGGCACATATCCAAGACGGTCAGGGAATAATACAGGGCACGATGGTGTGAGTCGTGAGAGGCAAACAGATCTATCAGTACGTCCCCAAACTGGTCCCAAACCAGCTGAACTGACAGGAGCACTGGGTCTGTGTGTTCACAAACCTGGTCTTGAGAGTGAGCTAGGATAGCCAGTCACCCTCTGTTCACACAGAGGAACAAGGGCTGCCTCGACAACTTTTTTGAAGGCGCAAAGAGACAGGGCTAGATCGAATGGGAAAACAGTGTACTGATATGTACAAACCATAGGTACGGTCTGAGTCGAAGGCACACATTCGAAAATGCATTTGGCCAGGAGCATCTTGAATGGCAGCCTGTGAAGGGGGCAGTTCAGATGCGCCGATCCAGGATTGGCCGTAACCCACCGGATTTCTTTGGGACAATGAGGTAGGGGCTGTAAAACCCAGACCTCATTTCGGCTGGAGGGACATTCTCGATCGTACCCTTCGCCAGTAGGGTAGCAACCTTTGCTCTCATGATAGGGGCATAGCCACTGAACATAATGGAGTGGACTCCCTTGATGCAGGGAGGAGACCATGAGAACTGAATCGCATAGCCAAGCCGATGGTTCGCACGACCCAATGGAACAGATTGGGAGCCCTAGCCAGGCTCTCAAAAACTGTGCCAGTGGAATCAAGCGAACCACAGCAGCGAAGTGGACCCTTCGCCAGTAGGGTAGCAACCTCTGTCGTCCAAGAACTCTTTGCTTAGAGACGGGGGAGTCAGTTCTTTCTGAGAAAAGAGGATTCTCCCCCAGCCCTCCACCGGAGAAAGGAGTGGGCCTGCTACCACCTCCTGGAAAAAACTGAGTCCCATCTCTGAGGAGCCTGTCTCAGGAGTGCCGCTTAACCCGGCGTTTTGTAGGGAGCAGGGCTGGAGAGGGCTGGTTTGCCTACCTGCGGCTTCCTCCACAACACAGCTATGTGAAGGCTGCTGCTGGGGCTTCGCGGGACGGGTGGGAGCCGTGGGAAGGGCCCCATGGCAGTGGGCAGACTGATGGATCTGAGCCAATGGCGGGGCAGCAGCGGGCCGTCGGGGCAGAATATATTGGAAAGCCTTAGTCTGCTCCTGGGCGGTTAAGAACTGTTGGGCAAAGTCCTCAACTGCACCGGCTTGGGATATGGGGGTGTTGAGCAGATGAGTCCAGTCAGCACCCCACACATCAGCCAGGTTCAACCCCAGGTGTCGTTCCTGGACCACATTGGTGGACATCACCTGCCCCAGGGAGCTTGTGGCCACTTTTGTCGTTCAGGGAGCAAGGCCAGTGGCGGCGGGCACAGATCATTATAGAGCCCTGGTTCATGGGCTGATGCTTGCAGACATTCTCACCCTCAGATCACCCTGGAAACTATATCAAAAGTCAGTTTTACTAGATTACTCCTCACTGTACATATAAAAGAAAATGGCATTTGAATTACTTTTTTTTTTCTCTCCTTAGAAAATGGACAGAAACCAGGATGGTGTGGTAACTATTGATGAATTCAGTGACTGCTGCCAAAAAGTAAGGCTCATTTTATCTTTATCAAAACATGCATTACTTTTAGCAAATGCATAATAATTTCACTTTTGTTTTGCAGGATGAAAATATCATGCAGTCTCTTAAGATTTTTGACAATGCAGTCTAGATGCTAGATGTTCAGGAATTCCACTAGTACTTGGACAATTCTATTATCCAATTCTCATTGGATAATTTCATATTTTCTGTGCTGCTGTTCTGGAATTCTCTAGACAGCTCTGGATAACTCTGGACTGCTCCAGACTTCTGTGAACTGACTGCTGAATGCATACATACCTAAGTAGAAGTTTGGGGCTCTAGTGTGATGCAAATATAATGTACATGTTAGTGGTAGAAAACACACACACACACACACACACTATTTTTCATCTAAAGTTGTTTGCATGCACAATGTGCAATGATGATGAAATGTAGCTTCTTTTCTGAAGAGAAAGAGGTTGAAGAGCACTGAAGAGGTTGAAGATGATCAGAGCGTGACAACCTAAATATTATGTTGGTGCTATTTTCTGTTCTCTAAGTGCTGCAATGCTTATATTCTTTAAATTCTCATTGTCTTTCCTTATTGTTCATATAATCAAGCTAGCAATTATTTCAAGAATAGATCCCATAAATGACATTTAATTAGTAAGTGAAACTGCATTACTGTAGTTCAAGATGCCTGGACAACGTAACACATCACAGTAGTAATAATACTATATCTCTAATAGACTATATTGCACATTTAAGCTTACGCATAAAACAAGGAATTAATGCTAACTTGTAATTATATAGGACACTCAATATTTAACTAACATGAGAAAGGGAACGAGACTGGATCGAGTTGATGCTACGGGAACACACTACGTGAGCCGGTTTCTGAAGCACTTGTGTTACAAGCCAGTCTTGATTGGCTATCGCAGTCGGGAGTCATCAAAGAGGTGCCTAGTTAAGACGACATCAACGTCATATTGTCTGAAGGAAGATGTTAAGGCATTACAGAAGTATGGCAACATGACAGTATCTTGTTCTCCTTCTTAGGTAACCGGGTTACATACGTAATCGAGATATTCCCTTTCGAAGAAGAACTCAACAATGCGTCATGGAGTTGACACTATGTGAATGTAATACCCACATTGGCGCACTGAACAAATGCCTGTTCACTGTGCTGTGAAATTACCCAGCAGGCTAGGCTGTAGACAAATAATTGCCTGCGTACCTAGTGACCTTGTTCAATACCTGGAGAGAGAGCATCGGGAGTGGAACGCATAACCAGCTCTACACCCCCCTGCACTCTATCACCTTTCTTCACAGAGGCATGACTCCCAACCTCTTTCTGAAGACCGAAAAACTTTGCCGTCGAAACTCTAGGGAAGCATTCTACCCTATAAACAGATCGCCTTGGGATTTAGTTGATGTAAACCCATCTGACTACTACCTCCAGTATGAACCAGAGGGGCTACTGAGACATGAGTGCCATAACGCTCTTAAACTGATCCCTACCAAGTAGCCCTTTTAAACTGATGGTTGTCCATTTCTACAGTTCTAGCAACTTACAGAGATACTGTGTCGCTAACTGCTAATAATTCCACTTTTATGCTCTGTCCCGATACTCCTTACGAACCGTTAGGGACAGGGCTTGACATCAACACCCGCCAACCCGCCAAATGCGGGTGGATTTCACCCATGGTAACTCCCACTAGCCACTTTGGCTTGTTGAAAAGTCTTGTCAAAAGACATCTGACATAACTAACGAATTGCAATTTATCACTACGACACTACAACTCCCATGAGTACTATCTGCACATAGTCTAGTGTTTGCTCATTGGTCCATTCGTGAATCCTCTTGAACGACATTAGAAACGTAGAGATTAAACCTTTTTCATTTTATTGAGTCAAATGAAACGAGTTAATACATGAGATTTATCGCAGTCGGGGGGTCATCAAAGAGGTGCCTAGTGAAGATGGCATCAACGTCATATTATCTGAAGGAAGATGTTAAGGCATTACACTGTAAAAAATTTGGAGTAGGATTTACTTGAAAAACCCTTGCTAAACGATCTCACTCAGAAAATGCTAGTAAATTTACAAAGATTTGCCAAGAAAAAACCAAAACATATTAATCAGTAGCTTTAATTAGAAATCTTTAAGTTAAATTTACTTGGAATGTGGAATTAAGTAAAGTTTAAAAAAAAATAAGTAATTTTAACTTGGCTTGTAAAAGGTTGATTAATACCGATTTCCTTTGCCTTTGTATTACATTTCACTAAAACAATTATCTTGAATTTTATTAGTCATTTATAGTATGTTTTTTACTTAGATCATCTAAGTAATTTATATATACAATACATCATGTCAGACTTTAAGCCTTATGTGAATGCAAACACCTCAATACTTGGTAGACAATACACAATGGTGGTAACATTTGATGGATCGTTTTTGTGTTTGAATGTGTCGTTTTAAGCAAAAAATTTACTCGAAATGTCACAAAATGGCAATTTACTAATACTGAAAACAAAAATCAATGATAAAACAGTGTAAATACAGCTGGAAACCAGTGAAAAATGAACCTCATTAATTATTCAAGGTCCAGTGCATGATGGAAACCCCAGTATCAGAAAAGTTGAGTAATTTTTACTTAATTTTATTGAGTTGATATTACACTTTCATTTATACTCGCTTGAAATAAGTACTGATTTGGAATTTACTTAGTTTTTTTAAATTCTTGCATGAACTAACTTTTTCAAGTAAATTACATAGGGTTTTTTCATTAGTATTTACTTAACCAAAAAATCATTTTTTACAGTGTAGTATGGCAACATGACAGTATCTTGTTTTCCTTTTTAGGGAACCGGGTTACATACGTAATCGAGATACATTAGGGTTGTGAATCTTTCGGTAGACAGCAAATCGATTCGATTCACGATTCATAGGTTTTCGATTCGATTCAAGAATGATTTGTGCAAATTCAGAACGATCCAATTCAATGCGATTTACATCCAAATTTGATGCAATTCGATTAATTTGATTCTTAATTTTTTATATGAATTATAGTATTATTTCAATGCTTCCCCAATGGGTCTTTGTCTGGGTTTGAATTACACAGCGGCCTTCGGGGGTCAAATAGTGGGGACAAAAAACAACAACAACATTTTGTCCATTGTTAATGTTAGTTCATGTTTGTTCTTAATTTTCGTAAATATATTATTATAAAAAAAAAATCAATGGCCTACAAATTAGCATTTGTAGAAACCTAAGTAGCCAATATTTTGAAAAAGGCTTTAAAAGTATTGCATTAAATGACTGCATGCACAAATTAATGGAGACGTTTTCATTGGTTTCATTTTGCGTCCTCTCAGTGCTCTCGTTAACATCTTTTCACTGGATTTTGCTTGCGCTTGGTCCCATTGCTCTCATGTACAGATTTTTGAGCAGTCCATGTTTGAGCTCTCCAGCTCTCCATCGAGAAAGCAATAGTTTTGAGGCAAACCGCTCAAGACATTGATAAAGCTCACTATGAAATAAAACGTTTTCATTGCGTGGAAACATTGCAGTTATTTTCTTTAAGATAAGATTTTACTGAAATGGGTCATAGCATTGACATTGCCCGTCCTTAGCTGTGAAGTAAAAGCCCACTTTATTCAAGGGCGGCATTTATTACACGTAAAGAGTCTCTCCGCACACGTAAGGTGGTCTCTCGCTCGCTTTCTCTCTCTGTCGAGTGCGTGCACGCGCAAAACGCGGTTTGGAGCACAACCTCTGTCTCGCATGCACGCTCGCTCTAGATTCCGGGAGATTTTTAACTAATTTGCAGTATAACTAACCGATCACGATATGAGTAGCTCAACAGATAGAAAGATAAACTCATCTTTCAGGCATTTGACCGACTGTGCTTCAGGGTGAGAAATCGGTGGTGTGTGAGCTCGTGAAACCAATCAAATGTGGGTGTCTTACGGCAAATGCGTGAGGCAGCTTGTACCAGGAACACTTTAAGGTTGTGTTTATATATATTAAACCACTGAATCGCTATAGAATCAAGATTGATTCAATTCTTACCCTTTTAAATCGATTATTCACGTATTTAAACGATTCACGATTCAAAATACATGTTTCAGGTTCGATGCATATGCAACGTCAGGATTTGTAATCGATGCATCGAGAAAACGAGTGAATCGTTACACCCCTAAGATTCATAAATTAAAAATCACTTTGCCATGGGAAAGACGGAATACGCATGAAACCTTCACCACAAATCGAAATCCACCATTGGATCATTTTTGTGGCGCTTTACAAAGTTGATAGGCTTTCTATGCGAAACCCCATTCATCGTCATCCCAACAGAACTCGGAGTGACAACGAAAGGGAACTATTTGATGTATCATTTCTGGTTTCAGGAGACTGTGTTTATGATTCAAATTTAGAGGCTATAAACAAGCAAAATTCTACAATTAATATTGCAATATGAAAGACAATGAGCAAATGCATTTTATGCATACAGTACATATGCAGACCATATGGAGTAAAATTTAGTTACGTGGTGCAAACAACTAGGTGATAATTCGTCCCCTTGGAATTATAAGGTTCTATCTGCGTTCTGAGCAGTTTTGAGATATTGAGCTTCATAGTTTTTGCATTCCATATAGGAAAATGTGCATGGGGAACATGTTTCTTTCAAACATAAAAATAACAGGGACCCTAAATGTACAAAAAACATCACATAATGTAAATAAATTGCCACAGAATAAGAAAATGTGAATAACTCAATTTTGACAAAAATGTCAGATAGAACCTTAGAATTTCAAGGGGACGAATTACTGTGTAATTAATCATATCCCCAATCATATTATTTTATCTCTGTTCATGCTTGTGAATGCATGAGACATAAATGGCAATGAGACTGTCCAAGGAGCATGCAGGAGGAGAAAATATGGCCTACAGAGCACACAATATGGAAAACAGCCACCACACTGTTGTGTTTGGCTTCCAGGACACAAATGCTAGTTTAACATTTAAACACAAACAGTGAATACCATTCCTTCTAGAGAGAGCAGGAGAGCTGATGGCTTTCCAGACATTGCAGATTCCCTATTGAGGGAGAAGAATGAATGCACTCCATTAGTCTCACTATGAGTTGGTGAATTTGTATGATATCTAATTACTTAGATCCTTTTATACTCCTAACTTGATAGATATTTTAGTTTTCCTGTTACCTTGCAGTAATATCTCAAGAAGATGTGTGATTTCATGTGTATTTCAAAGTTTATAAAGAGGGTTAAATAATTTAGTTGCTTCCCACTTCGCAATGTGACGTCGGGGTGACGTCTTTTCTATGTAATTTTTGGACGTCCAATTTCGGTCCACTAAATGCGTTTTTTTGTAATGGCAGGTGACTCCTTTTTTCGATGTCTACTGCACGTCTAATGTTGACATCCGTGGGACCAAATGTGGTCGTTTGTGGACGTCTTTTCAACATAAAATTTAGACTAATTTTTGATGTCGTTTTTATACAACTTTTATAACTGTAGTCCCATTAAATTTACATTTATTCATTTAGCAGATGCTTTTATCAAA